TATATATATATATGTGTTGTTATTTCAATATATATTAAGTATGCAGTATTTATTGTTAGATGAAAAACCTTAGAGTCGAGTGTGAAGCTACCACGATTCTGGCAAGGGGTCGTTTATAAAATACGTCACTCCGTAAACGCTTTTCCAGACATTAAGCGTGTGCACAAATATAAAAATAAGTAAATAGGTTGTTAAAAATGAAGCGTAATTTTTTTGAGAGTGATTACCGTCTTAAGTCACTACAATATACTAATTATATTCCCAGACCATACAAAGTGACAAGCATGTATTAATATTTTTTAACATCCGTACTCAAAAATTCTAATTACTACATGGAAACAATTTATTACGATTGTGTTTTGTATGGTGTTCAAGAAAAGCAGAAAAACTAGGGTTTACCCTCAAACAAAGTGCAACCTACACGAAAAAAACATCCGTACGGAGATTGCGGAATTTTGAAGACGGTGATCTACAATTAGAAGATCGATCTTTGATGAGTTTTGCAAAATCAATTGGGAATGGTTGTGAAAATCAATTACCGCAGTCTCCATGTGGATTATTTTTTTATATACATTGCAGTTTAAGTTGAAACGTGAATTTAGACGTGACTATCATGAGAGATAATTCTACTACACTATTACTTGCCGCTATTCTAGATTTATAATGATGATAATAATTTACAATATTCATAACACCACAAAACTATCGTTTGCTTCAAGTATTTAAACAATTTCTCCATGACTTTATCGTCTAATATTTGTTGTACTCAGACAGCAACATAATCATCACTGTCATACTGTCTGAACACGCACCTCCATTCTTTCCTATTCTGAGTTAATCTTCTCATTTTTCTAAAACTAGAGCAGTAATCTAATCTAGGTCAATCTCTGTCCCTCCTAACTCCCGTTTCTGTCTCTAACCAACCTATCTCGCTTAATTCCATAGAGACCTCTATTTTCCTATTCTTTTTAATACGTTTTCATTACTAACTTCAACTAATTTTAGAGGCAGAAACAACAGAAAGTTAAGAGGGGTAGAGGTAGACCTAGGTTAGATTAGATCGCAAATAGTTAAGGATGTGGGTTGTTCTAGTTTTGGGGAAATGCAATGATTAGCTCAGGATAGGAAAGAGTGGAGGTAGGTGTCCAACCAGTCTTAGGACTGATGACCTTATGATGATGATGACTAACATTCTCTATCCACGGTATCCTCATAATTCACCTGTAACATTACATTTCCAACGCTTCTAACCTTTTCTTTTCCGCCGCGCCCGCCCATGTTACACACAAACATACACCTTTAACAACCTTTTTCGAATTTCTAAATTAATCATTCGCGAGCATAGAAGTGACTTCTTTTTATTGAAGGTACCTCGATCCTGCGCTGTCTTTTGTTTTATATCTCTATTGCTCCTTCCTTTCTGAATTATCTGACTTTCTAGATATGGAAAATCAGCGACTTCTTCTAAATTTTTCTTGTTTTACTTTTATTTATTTTTATATCATACTGTTTTACTTCCATCTTATTTAAAGCTATCTCTAACTTCTCCTATGAGCGGATGGTATCATTTTATAATAACGTATTCTTTCCGATTCGAGATATTTTCATCCCAGATGGTAGGTAATTAAAAATAATAATCTATTTGCTTAATATACTATACATGCGGAAAAATGATAAATATTATCTTATCTTGCATATTACTTGTATAACTAACAGCTCTCATCACTCCAAGACGGTAAGTAATCATTCGCACTAATCGTTCCTGCGTCACCGGTCTAAAGGTGTGATTATACGGCCCGTGCCCTCACAGCCGGTCTGTATTAGTCCCTACTAACCGAGCGGCATGGCCTAGAGGTTTAGACCATTACTTAGCATTCGGAAGGACGCCGGTTTGATTCCGGGTCCGTCTGCCTTGTACCAAATTTTTCTGTGGTTTTCTTGGATCACTTAGGCAAATGCTGGGACAGTAATATTCCACAGATAATCTTTCATTCTCTTCTGTCTTCATTTCGTCCGTCTCATCTTTCTCACCCGAACCACCACCCACCCATTCCCACGATTCCTGAAAGCAGGCTGAAGAGGGCCTTCCNTGCCCGCCCACTAACATTAGTGACTGGTGGGAATGAAACACCCAAGTTTTTTTAATTCCCATTCGCTCATTTACGATTCGTAACAGTTAAGGCTTGGGTTAATCGGCTTCTAATGAGGTGCAACGGGTGCAGAACCTAGATATTTGATATCTAGCAGCTACAGAATGGGAGATGGGACTGTAACCGAAATTGTGAAATTGTCTAAATTTAGATTTTATGTATCGTGGATCACTTGGATCTTACCACACTGAAAAGTTCCGCGCTAATTTAATCATTTTTTATTCAACTGATTCCATTGTATTCATTTGGAAAGCGAATGCCATAGTAAACGTGTGCAGTGTTACGCAAATTCTGTGCCCAACATTCGTGGTGTTTCATAAGACGATTTCATTCACAAAAACTGAACTGCCTGCGTCACCTGAATCTCAATGTCACACGGAGAGTGATTTGCCGGATTCCGCGCCTGGCGCGTCGGATCACGAGTCGTGGAACCGGTCTAATTGCGTATTATTGAGGCTCATCACTTATAAACGGTATGATGTCATCTTCGTACCCAAAAAAAGGCAATAAAAACCGAATTTGTTATTTGGAAAAATATTTCATCGAATATGTAGTTGTTTAAAGTATTAGATGCAATTAATTACTACCAAAAGTAATTGTAAAAATGATCATAGTTAATTGTAAGGTAACTTAGAAAGCTTTAATTTGTATTGATAATAGTCAAAATTAGGTACATTAATCAAAGAAGAATATGTCTCAGGTGTCACTTCCATGCAAAATTATAGATCATTAAAATAACAGACCAGATTTCTCTTCTTTTGCAATTGTACGATAAGAAATTAAAACTATAATCAAACCTGTAAGCAGGTTAAGTAATTATTGTCATTGATAATGTATGAATAATAATTATATAATTATCAAAATATCCGGTCCGATGGGACTTGAACCTTGACGAAACTCTGGTACAAACTAGAGTGGGTGGATCGGCTTGCGAGTTTCGATGATTGAAGGAGCTAGACCAAGCTTGAACCATAATGGGGGGGAGGTTCTTAAAGGGAAACCGGACTAAGACAAGTCCCTGAAAAAGGGAAAGCAGCTCTTTCAGTCTGATGCACAATACTGCGATGTGGAAGGCAATGAGAAACCATCCTGAGTAACACATACTACACAAATTAAATGATGGCGCCCTATAGGGTAAAGCACTCCGAATGTAAACTAGTCCCCCATTCGGATGTCCGGGCGGGGACTACCTCGGCAGATGTCAGCAATAAGTGTAAGAAGGGAAGTGCTATATTTCACGAGTCGGAGCGTGGAATGTTAGAACAATTAGTCATGTAGGGAAATTGGAAAATTTAAAAGCTGAGATAAAATATTAGAATTAGATATAGCAGGCATTAGTGAAGTCCGTTGGCCCGAAGCTGGAGACTTCTGGAGTGGAGACTTTAGAATAATACATACAAGATCGGCGGTATGTAATACGGGAGTAGGAATTGTAATGCGTAGGAAAGCAGGACAGAGTGTAGAAGGTCTAATCAGAGACATATTAGAGAGAGAAACGGGAGTTAGGAGGAGTAGAGGTAGACCTACATTAGATTAGTGTTCGCAAATAGTTCGGGATGTGGGTTGTTCTAGTGGAGGTGCGTGTTCAACCAATCTTAGGACTGACGACCTTATCATGATGACGAGGATGCTGAGGAATATTATTAGCCTGTCCCACTTAGCAGTAGCATACGCTCCGTATTGTTGTATTACAGGACCTGTATCAATCAGGATTCACTTCACCAATATAGGCTGACACTTCGAAGGAATCACTCATAAATTTGTTGAAGCGATTTACGTTATTAACATTAAGTAGGATTATATACATACAGAGCATTAATAATACTAATCTGGCTATTCTGATAATGCTTTTATAAACTTGGTCTGTCAACGCAGATGATAAGAAAGTGCACTTTATGATGTGTTAGTAATTATAAGTTATTCTAAATCATTGCAATAGTTTGATACACATTTCATGTATTTTTGTATGTTTTCACATGTTTTTGCTCTTTCTACTTCTATACTTCAACCCTGTAAATACTTTAATTGTAGCATCGTTTAATTCTCATCTTATTCCCCATATCTTATCGAATACATTTTTCTTTTATTAAGGGAAGGCAAATGGACAGTGGGAGCGGCGGAAAAGAAAAGGTTAGAAGCGTTCGAAATGTGGTGTTATAGGCGGATGATGAGGAAATCGTGGGTAGAAAAGGTTAGAAATGAAGAGGTATTGGAAAGAATAGGAGAACAGAGGACTCTATGGAAGTCAATAAAAAATAGGCGAGATAGGTTGGTAGGACACCTTCTCAGGCATGAAGGTCTAGTCAGAGACATATTAGAGGCAGAAACAGGAGTTAGGAGGGGTAGAGGTAGACCTAGATTAGATTACTCTTCGCAAATAGTTAAGGATGTGGGCTGTTCTAGTTTTAGGGAAATGCGAAGTTTAGCTCAGGATAGGAAAGAGTAGAGGTACGTGTCCAACCAGTCTTAGAACTGATGACCTTATGATGATGATGATGAAGGGGAGGCAAGTCTTTGTATAGTAGAAAACCTTTCGAAGATGCGAGGAAATACTGAGGACTAGCAAAAACTTATAGTGGGCCTTGTTCATGACTAAGTAGAAGAAGGAAGAACTGTAATTTACAGACAATTTAGCTACTACAACCCTTTACCTTTAGCAAAATCATTTGCTAGCATCTAAGACTTATCTGGAAGACACACGTACAGAATCAAAAAGGTTTCTGTAGAGGTTTTATGTGGAAACTTAAAACGAATAATATTTATCTATTTAATTATTTATTCATCGAATACACGGGGGAAAATTACTTTTTACAAAATAGATATAGGTAAATTAAATTAGTCTGCATACATCTGTATATAGCAATATAGCGCTTCTCTAAATTATAGTTAAATAATTGAATTAATAATTATTAATTAGTAACACGTAACATTGTTTAATGGATCGATGAGAATAAACTTATTTGTACTTTTTTTAATTCAGTCTAATAGTAATAACATTATGTATTAAAATAATAATAATTATTCTATTATGTAATTATCAAAGGATAGAAAGCACCTGCTATGGCCTACTTGCATCAAAATAGGATAAGTAACACGTTTACAATGAAAAATTCAACAATCATTAACAATCCCTCCTTGTACACATCAGGACCGTAACGTCAGGCCTGACCCTTCACTCTCCTCATTCCGTTACGTAACTCGTAAATTTTACATTTTAAGGTTGGATTCATAAAAGAAAGATGTTTTTTCATTTTTTATAAAAATTGATTGTATTAAATGATGACACATTGCTAAACAACAATAGGATCATATAAAAATTCTGTTAATGTTACCTATCGCTAATTTTCCGGTTCTAAAATCGTCGCTTACTAACACGCAACGCAAAACCATTATCACTCACTATCATTGCCACCCCCGGATCAGGGCTGAGATGTCAGATTCGAGCCTTCTCCTCGCCCCAATTTACTTTACCTTATTTATAGACAGTCTCTATAATAATAATAATATTATCTATTCAAGATACTTCACTGAAAGACTATTTCTTGACGTAGGCTTTCGAAAACAATAAATATCACCTACATGTGGTTGAAATTAAGATACATGGAATGACTAAATGGAAAATTCAAAGCGATTGTCATAAAGGAACGAATGAATAGCAAAAAAAAAGCCGTTTCGAACCAGCTTAGTACCGCTTTAAAAGAATCGACACAAATAGTAGTTCGATCTGAAAATGAGTAACAGTCTCATCGGTTTAATCTTTCTTGAATTTCGGCAAACGTCTTCCCTTTAGTTTCCACCACGAACAAGAGGGTGAATATTATTCCTAAGAAACTAAAAAAGGAAAAAATCCAATAGGTCACACCGGGTCCGACGGCGTCTTGTAAATTACTAAAAGCTTTGACCACAATGAAAGCCATAAAAGCGTTAAAACTTGCCGCTACAGTAGAAGCAGCAGCTTTTACATCAGCCGAGAATACTTCGCCCATGAGCCCCAAGGGCAACGGGCCAAAGCCAAAATTGTATGTAATAATATATACAATCATACAAACAATGGGTAACCAATCAATATAGCTCACGTTGTAGTTATTTTCTTTTAAGTAGAAATAAAGCCCAAGTGGTACTTCTGATATCACCATTCCTACTGCTGATATCAATAGCAACATTTTTCTCCCTAGTCGATCTACTAAAACAGGGGTACTAAAACCTGAAGCAAACTGGACTAATCCAACTATAAGGGAAGAAATGTCGGAATTCAAGGAGCTTCCGGAAGCATTAAAAATATCCGTCGTATACGTTAAGACAATTTTGATACCTGATAATTGCTGTATGCCTGCTAGACCCGAACATATCAATAAGGCCTTCCTCGAACCGCGGTTTTTTATCACATCCATTATTGTGCCTCTATTTTTCATTTCGGTTTCAACATTCTCCTTAATTGTTGCAAATTCTTTTTTAATTCCTCCCACGTCCGTACCCCTAAGCTTTGCAAGGGACGATTCAGCAGCAGGGATATTGTTTTTCAAAATAAAATATTGAGGGCTGTCCGGGAAAAACGAGAACAAAATCACGAAAAGCGCAGGAAACACAGCGCAAATTATGCTGAACCACATAACCGATGTATAGGGTCCCACCGCGTAACAAAGTAGTTCTCCACCAACCATAAAAATATTGATAAACGACGTCAGAGTTCCTCTTATCGATGTTTCAGAAATTTCTCCTATGTACATGGGCAAAGCGCCAAAAACTACCCCTACACCCAGGCCTCCCAGAAACCTCGCCACGTAGTATAGAACTGGGGTTTTAGCGAATGCCGTTATTAGAAATGCTGCTGTTAGGGGAATCCCACATGCGTACACTAAAGTCCATTTACGCCCGATTCTATCGGCAAGCAGTCCTACAATAAATGGCCCAAAAATAGCTCCACAAGATAAAAGAGCTGCTATCCAGGACTGCTCTTCAGTGGTGGTAGGTGCGTCAAAAGGATTTTCGTCCAAGTTACCTGTACTGTTGTTCATTTTCGGGAACACTGGAGATGTCCATGTTATGGTCAGTCCAACGGCGAATGCTGCTAAATTGCCTAAAAAATATCAGCACATGACTATTAAACTGACGTAATTGAACATTAAAAGAATTTGTATTTTTGTCTGTCTGTCAGTCATGCAATAGATTTTTACTTGCTGGGGAGCTTTATAATTTTTATTTTGACAAAAACACTCAACAGAGTATCCATATCAGACCCAAATCAGTAATTAAAAATAATCGCAGCAATTGTGAGTACTGAGGAATTATTTATTAAAAAGCCAACACTCAACGTTTCGTCTCTAAATATGAGGGTTTTTCAAGGCTAAAAATGGTGTCACTTACTAATTTGTTATCAATAAAGTTATCTACAATTCACACATTAAATTATTGATAATTTAGCGAATAGCAAATTATTAATTTGTAATTTAAAATGATAAATATAATAAGTAGTTAGTAAACCCATACTAATAGATAAAGTACGATATATAAATAAAATAATAAATAATGAGGAATAAAAGACTAAATTGACTCTATTAACACCTAATGATAATTACCTTAGCAAAAAGAGATATAAAAAAACAGTATTTCTATAAAGCGTCGACCAATAGAATATACCTAATTTAATAGAATTACTCATAGTGTGTAAGTTAATTACGTTAAATACAGGACTAGTCTTAACAATGAGACATTTAGAAGATGAAGTAGGTAATTCATTTTTTTAATTAACTTTATCCACTTCAAATAACTCTAAATTAATGACGAAAAAATCGTTGTTGTTGTTGTCACTACTCCGCCGGGAATCGCACCCGGACCTCTGGTTTTACCCATAAATATATTCAAAAAAGTAATTCACTAATACATTGAATTTAACCCTACAAAAAATTTAAATATCACATTTAGAAGAATTTTTGTAGGGTTAATTGCAATACATTAAAGTGAACTAATTACAAAATTTCTTGTAAATGTCTCACTGTTAATAATGGTACGTATTGTCGTTTCGGTTATTTGTAGTAGTAAAATTAATTCAAAAATTTAATTGTATATTATTTTTGACGTGACAACGTCTTATAATTCGATGGAACCGGCTGCACGCACGGAAAAACATGACTCATGCGGCGTTACCTCGCTCTGAGGCGTTCCATTTAAGGCATTAAGTGCAAGCGAGAGCGCGGAACGAGCGACAAAGAGGCACAATCGGCCTCCGCGTTCGGCAGCGTTAGACATCTGTCTCTCTCCTACTTGAGTGAGCGCGTGGACAGCTGCTATACAATAATACGAGGGTGGATTGATAAGTTTCCGGCCTGACCAAGAAAAACAAGGTTTTTAAAATTTTTTTTTTTTTATTTCTCAACATAATCTCCTCCAAGGCTGATACATTTCTCATAGCGGTGTTCCAGTCTATTAATGCCATCTCTATAGACTGATTCGTCAAGCTCCTCAAAATAACCATTTACAGCTTCGATTACTTC